GCCCCCATCGGGCAAGTCCAGCCCCATAATTCGGTCATGAGGCTGCAGAAGGGCTGTGTAGGCAGCCAGATTAGCCGGAGAGCCTGAGTATGGCTGGACATTGACTCCCCACTGCGCAGGATCCAGGTCAAAGGCCTCCAAGGCCCGCTGCTGACACAGCAGCTCAATTTCATCCACTACCTCTGCTCCTCCATAATATCTGCCATGAGATGGGGGTGTATCAGGGCACACAAAAAGGGTTCCAGTATCCCCCACAACCAGCAGCAAAGGCCACTCCTCTATACACACTGGGAGGGTACAGGCAGGTGTCCCCCACGGGGAGCAGCATTCCTGAGGCTGCCTTCCAGCCCTCTGGTGCCTAGCCCTCACCTCTTGCCAGGATAACCCTCCGAGTACTTGTTGTTGAGACAGGACCCCAGGGCCTCCAGCGCTGCTCGGCTGCAGAAGTTCTGGGTGAGGGGGGAACGGTGGGGTTAATGTCAAAAGGCACTGAGCCCCTTTCCCTGGAGCCCCCCACAGCCCCTCCCTGCCAGAGCCCCAGGCTGCAGGGAGGAGCTGGGCTCTACAGAAAGCTCTGGTCATTCAGCGTTCCTTGTCAGGCCTGAAGAAAGGCCAGAGGAAGCATCCTGAGAAACCCAGCTGCCATGACAGGTGTCCCCAGCAAGACCACCTGTCCACTCGAACCTATGCTTCCAGGCTCCTCCTTCCTCTTGGGAAGGGGAAGGGACCAGACTAGATGACAGGGGCCCCGGAAAGCTTTGGAAGCTCTCTAATGTCCCCATCCCATAATCCAGACTGGCCCTGCCTCTTCTTCAGAGGACAGTAAGAAGAGAAGGAAATAAGGCCCAGCAAGAAGGCCCTGAGTCTGCAAGGGAAATGTGGAGAAACAGCAGTACAATGACCTGTTACTTCTTGCACCCACGGTGGCCCATGTCGTGGCCCCTCTCCCCAAGCCCCACCTCTGAGGCAATGAGCTCCAGGCCACGACACTGCCTGTCCTTCTCCCTCTGCAGCAGCTCCCACATCTCAGGGTCACTGTCTGACAGACTCTCCTGGCCTGTCCAGCCGCTGGTTGCTTCTCCAGTCTGGGTCTGGGCCACCTCACTGTGCTGGCACCGGATGGCCCTCCTGACCAGCTGACCACATCTCTGCAGAGGCTAGGAGAGGAAAAACCAGAGTCAAATAAAAAGCACCCAGTCTCCCAACAACCCTCAACCATGCTTATCAGGCTTTCTGGCTCCAAACCTAGCAGCCAGTGGTCGAGCCAGCCTTTTCCAATTCTCACCACCCCCACCTCCGCCTTCAAATGCCAGTTCCAGAGCCAAGGTCGAGATCAATGTCCAGGGGGTGGTTCTGATTTGGTCCATTTACCTCACCTCAGAATTTCCCTCCACCTCGGCCCATGAACCACTCTGCAAAGCCATAGGGCAAAGTTTGTCCTCCAGAAGCCTATGTCTCTGGAGCTCAGGGGCAGTCTACTGAGGTTCCAGAACCTCCCCAACCCACAGGAACAAAAGGATCTTCCTGCAGGGCCTCCATGGCAGTCAGGGGGTTGGAGGCTGAGTTGGCAAGGATTCAGGCAATAGGCTGTAGGGGTAGTTTCCAGAGCAATGGAGGTGGCAGAGAAGACCATTAGCAGTCTCTGGGGAAAGGGGGATGGTGGTGGTGGGTGGTGGGGAGCCTGCTGGCAGGGAAGCCAGAACCCATATCCTGCCCTCTGTGCCCCCCAACTCTTCCCATGTCCTTCCAGCCCACAGTGCCAAGGGACGCCTGATGTAAGTAGTGGGGCCGCGTTGCATCATCTGCACGGCTCAGAGCTGGCAGGAAAGACTCGGCTCGCAGGTCCGGTCCAGGAAACCGGCTTGTTCATCAGGGTCCACGGGGCATCTGGTGCACTTCTCTCCTTAAAGCCACGTGAAATGGGTGGTCGCAGGCCCTCGGGCGTCTGGTTGCCGGAATGGGGAGGGGCCCCAGGTGCTCCGCGGGCACTGGGGGTGGAGGGGTTCTCAAGGATTCCCTAGTTGCAAGTCCGCTCCCCGAGGACCAAAACCACGTGCGTGGAAAAGCCAGGAGAACCCCAGAGTTTGTGAATGGGAACTGAAGTAGGAGGGGAGCTCGCTTTCTATTGGTCACCCAATCTCCGAAGCCCCATTCTTACCCGAGTCGCCCAGAGCAAAGAGAAGGGCAGCATCGCAACCCGAGGTCGCAGGATGTCCAGCCACCAACTCTGGCCGGGGGAAGCAAAGGGTAGGAAGAAGACTGATCCGAGAGCGCGTGCGCGAGAACGGCCCGAGAAACCACCGGATTAAGGGGAGGGACCTACGCATGCGTGAGGTGGGCCCTTTATGGTCTCTTGGGAATTGTAGTTTTTTTTCCCCCCCTTCCTCTTCCGCTTCAGTTCCATCTGTAGCTCATGGTCAGACAGAAGCTCCTTGCCTGAAAGAAAAGAGATCCAGTTCTGCACCACCTCCTCATTGTCCCGAAGCTTAGTGGGTTTTCCCCCCACTGTTGTCCAAACAACAGCCATTTACTGGGTGCCTACTGAATGCCTAGCATTATTAGGCTCTGAAAATATAAAGACTCCTCTTCGAGCTAGAGAGCCTTGGTGCACCGGAAAGCCCTCTGGCTTGGAAGGGTGAGACCTGAGTTCAAGTTCCACCTCTGGGACAAACTAGCAAATTAGCCTATCTGCCCCTCAGTTTCCTCACTTGTAATTCAAAAATAACATGTAGTGAGGATTAAGTGAGATTTTGTGTGTAAACATGCTCTGGGATGGATCACCCTCCCCTGATCCTCTGACTACTCCAAGGTTATCTCCTTCTCCTGCGATATCCTGGAGATGAGTGAGGTGCCCCCTTCCTGTTGTTGCACTTTTGCTACCTGTTCACCTCTTGCTGCTCCAGCAGTCAGTGAGCTCTCTTTATATGCCTGGGGCTCTAGATCCTTGGAACCACACAGGATCTTCCTTTTAGCCTGACTTCGTCTGGACTCATCCTTTGGGAGAGGGACTCACTGACCCCTCTAGAAGTAGGTCCCAAAACCTCGGTATCAGAATTGGCTGGGAAATGTAGTATAAATATATGAGTGTGAGGCTTCTCTTCAGAGGTTCTAATTCAATGGATCTTAATGAGTAGACATTTGCCCACTCATGGTGACAGTGAAACCTCTCAGTGATTCTAATAAGCAGTGATTTTGAGAACCATTGCCTTACTTAGCAAAATTACACATTCATTCATTCATTCATTCACTCATTCATTCAACAGACGTGTTGAGCTCCTACTCTGTGCCAGACATGGCCTAGCCTTGGAGATATAAGAATAGATCACTGACTGCTGGGACATCAGGTAACAAAATGCAACAAGCGCAGTTATGGGCAGGGGCAACTCAGCTCCCAGAAGTCCAGATGTCCCAGGGGGAAGGGGTGGGGGAGGAGGAGAAGAGGATGGCTGTAAAGGAGGCAGTTTGTGAGTCAGAGGAAGAGAAGGACAATCCATCACAAAACACGTTCAAATGAAAAGTCTCATTTAATCTCCAGGACATGCTATTTTATCATTGCCTTACAAGTGAGGAAACTGAGGCCCAGATAGGCTAACCTGCTAATTCTAAACATTCCCACTTGGCTCTCATACCAGGCCTCAGAAGTTCTGGCTTAGCTCTAACCTCCTTCCCTCCTACTCTAGCCTCAGGTGTTCTCAGGTCTTTCCAGCAATGGGCTCTCTTTGGGGGTTCTTCTCCTTCCTCCAATCTCTGACCTACAACCACCTCCCACCTCCCTCTTCCTTTCAGCTTGATCTTGTTATTCAGCCACCCATCCATCCATCCATCCATCCATCCATCCATCCATGATTTATTTTCCCCTCAACGACTTTTCACTTCCAGGCATATTTAGATCAGACTCACCTCTGACTCAGTTTCCTGCTAGAACCAGTGGGCAATTCCCTGGAGAGTCCTGCACTCTCTGAGTTGGTATCTTGGCCCAGGACTCAAGGAGAAGGAGGGCAGAAGACGAGGTGTCGAGGTGTCGTTCTGTGCCTCAGCTTGTCCCTATCCCCTCCCTCGCCCCAGTCAGGGGTCCCCAGGGGAGGGGGGCGGCTGAGCTTGAGAACTGCTAATGAAGCCGCAGCCAATTAACGCCCGGGCCAGAGTTGGGGGCGGATAAAATTAGCAGCGGCGGCGGCAGGAGGGAGCTGCAGGGGCGGGGCGGGGAGGGTGGGCAGCTGGCTGAAGGGGGCCTCGTTTGCAGGCGGCGAGCGGCGGCGACGCGGCCCGGCTCTCCAAACTCGCGCTCGTCCCTTCCCCCACCCCCTCGTCTCTGGCCTCCCTCCCTCTCTCAGCCGTCTGCAAACTCAGCGCCCACGAAATTAGGAAGGAAAAGGAAGATCGATGACTCCAGATGCCGCAAACACCGTTCCCCCTCCCCCCCACCTGCCGCCTCCCGCCAGCCCCTCGGAGCTTAGCAGGTTGTCAGCGCTCTGCCTACGCTGTCCCTGCAACTCCATCCCATTTCAAAGCCTTATACCTCCTCCCCCAAGTCGTGTCAACTGTCCGCTGGTAGTCCCCTCTCAGGTCTCATCCCCACTCGATCTGCTGCTGCTTCACCTCGCCCACCTCGGGGAGAAAATCCCCATCTCAGTCAGAGCTCCTACCGCAAGGGTAGCCCTCGTCTCTCCCTGATCTGGTCCTGGATGACCTCCAAGGTGTTAGCTCCCTCAATATTTGCCTCAGTTCCCACGAGCCGCCGAGGGAGGAGGCCCTGGCCAGGTCTCTGCCACCCTTAAACCCACAGCACCACCCCCTTCCCTACGAAAGTCTCTCACGCAGACACGTATTGGATTTCACTTTATTTTGTTCCCTTTCCCGTCTGTTTTGGCGTAGAAAAATATCACCAAGAGGAAGCAGCCGGAAAGGGGCAGGTGGAGCAGGACTGCGGGGACGAGAGGGAGGCGGGCATAGAGGGCAGGCGCCCAGTCGATCGCCTAGGCCCAGGAGTTCTGCTTCCGCTACCCTAATTAGGGTTTCGGGGAAAAGCGGACAGGCATACCGGCAGGCAGAAGGGGTCGGGGACAGGCCGCAGTTTATAGGCCTCACAGTCTTTACGTGGGGACAGGGTGGAACAGGAGGACAAGCGCCTGGGGGTAAGAAAGGGTGCGACAAGGGTGCCAGGCCAGGCGTCATTAAAGATGCGGACAAAGGGAATGTCCAGCCCAGCGCCTGCGGCATGAGGGGGGACCCACGGCAGACGTGAGGGACGCTGGGACCGCCTCCAAGCCCCGCCTATTCTAGGCCTGCGCTCTTGCCTCTTCACTTTGGGAGGCAGCGGAGGGGGCTACCTCTCCCCCCCACCCCCGCCGCCCCACTGCCTCGTGGGCACTCCCCATGAGGAAAGGGTGGACCTACGCGGCTGATGGCTGATGGTCCCCGGGAGGGCTGTTCCTTTCGCCCTCGGAATGGAAGGGGTGGACGCGGCCACAGGAGCTGCGGGGCACAGGGAGGGGTCCCACTTAGGGAGGCCGGGATTTGGCGGGAAGCTTAGGGCCCAGGCGAGGGCGAGGCGCGCTACCCAAAGTAAGGGTGCTCACTCTGGAAGTTATAGTCTGGGCACACCTTCTGCACCAGTTTGTAGTCAAAGCTGAGGAAGGAGACGAAGATGCAGATGACTTTGAAGGGCTTGGCGCAGAGCCAGGCGGCATGGCTCTGCGTGTGCTCGGTGAAGCACACCTGCGACGGGTCGTACAGGCACGGGCGGTGCTTGCGCGCGCGGTTTGTCTTCTCATACTCCACGTGGCAGTTGAAAGCGCGAGACTCTTTGGCCCCGGGCACTCCCAGCGCGCCCCCGAATGGGCCCGCCAGCGCGCCCCCGAGGGTACCCCCTAGCCCGGGTCCCGCGGCCGCTATCCCCAGCGGGGGCCCCAGCCCGGGGAGCACCCCTTCCAGGGCCAGCGTAGACTGCAGCGGGTGGGGAGCCGGCCCGGGCAGCCAGACGCCCCCAAACTCGACACGTTTGGAGGGCGGCACGATACTGACGCTGAGGTTGCCCAGGCTAGACGAGTTGTGGCGGAAGTACACGCTGAAGGTACCGTTCACGTGGTCCACGATCTTGCCGGTCACCAGCAGCGAGAACTTGAGCGTGTGTACCCGGAAGTAGAAGTCCCCCCAGCCAAAGATCTTTTTGGCGCGGGCCGCTTTGATAGACGGCTTCCTCTTGGTGCGCCGCGCAGGCAGCGCCCCCGCCCGGGCCAGCGCCCGGGTGTGATTAGCCGGCCAGGCCCAGCTCCAGGCGCCTGCGGTGCCCAGGCCGTGGGAAGCCCTCGGCACCGCGAGCTGTTGGCCAGGGGCGCCCCCTCTGGCCGCGGCGGGGCGCAGCACCAGGTACTGCGGCCTCCCGGACTCCGGAATCTGGGCACTGACGACCTGTGGACGGAGAAAGAGCAGAAAAGAGAGGCGCTGGAGTTGTCCTTGGCCATCCCAGGGCCCTACCCCCCCCCCCCCCCCGGCCAGCCCCTTTCCCCAGCCGCTAGGAGCCCAAAGGGAACTGGGCAGTCCACAGTCAGTGGTTCCGGGAGCGTGTACTGGTGCAGGCCGGCAGCCCTTCAGCCCTCTGTGCTCTTGGCCAAGTCACCGACCAGTACTCAGTTTCTCCATCTGTGAAATGACACTGAGAATCCATGTGTTCTCAGAGAACTCCGACGCGAGCTGAGAAAGGCAAAAAAGCCAAAGCCCGCGAGGGTAGAGTAGGGAGCCGAGCTGTGGACGCGGTCTGCGTCTCCCCTGGCCTGGAACCTGCTTGGTTCCGAGTAATGATGGACCAGGGAGGAGGTGGACTCAGGCAGTCCAGGCCATGACCGCTGTCAACATCCCAGCATCAGGAAAGAAGTGACCTCCCAACACCTCTGCCCAGACTAAAGCCCCCACGCAGGCCTCAGCCTCCACTCCCTTGCGGGGAGGGGCCCGGGAAACCGATTGAACTAAGAGCCCTGGAGAGTCTCGGCGCTGTGGGTTGAGGCTGGGGGGCTCCGCGGGCACCCCTCTCCGCCTCCGGCACTCTTACTGTGGGGGAGGCCAACTAGTGGTCCTTCCCGGGGCTTGGAGGGGGCCGGAGGACCAACCTCGCCCGCCCTCACCCGTCTCTCCGGCTGTCTCAGGTGGCGGCCGATCTGGGAGACAGCGCGGGCGCGAGTACAAGATGGATCGAGAGGCGGGAGCGGCCGGGCCAGGCCCCGGCCATCAATTATCTGGGGCGGGGGGGGGGGGGGGGGGGGGGGGGGGGGGGGGGGGGGAGGGGGGGGGGGGGCCGAGGGAGGGGAGAGCCTTGACAAAGTGTCTCGTA